GCCGACAAATTGAGAGAACGGTTATACCTTGCTATGTTTTTATCATGCCTTTTTCCATAAGTATTCGTAAGTTGAAGGAAAATTTTTTTAATTATGTACGAGCTATTATAACGTTTTTAACAGTTGGCTGCTCATCCCCCAACCAAGAAGTTTTCCTTTATTCTTGTCAGTTTGAAAAATTAATTTTTCAGCCAGATAAACAACGCCAAGTAGTTTGCAAATTTTAAAAAGTTTTCCGATCTGAGTAGTTAACTGTAATGCGAAAAAATCAACTTCTACATTCTGAGCAACCCTTCTCTTAGCATTCAAAGGAAATTGACAACCATGCCGATGACTAATTTTCAACAATAACTTTACTATACTAAAAATAACTTATAACTTCTAAATGTTCTTTTATATGTCGTTAAGCGAGAACTCAAACAAGCCGGAAATATAAATTTTTCTTGAAGTCGGAATTTACAGACAAATGCAAGTTTTTGAGAAATTTTTTAATTTCATAGATAGCTCGCAATCCACCAGTTTGATTAAAAAACATTGTAACCATAATAGCAGCAAATAACAATTTACTGAACTAAATGTAACAGGTCAAAATTAAATTTTAAATTAGCATTATTTTTATAGACTAGGAAATATTTTTTGCATGTATTATTTTTGAGAATCTAATCGCAGTAATAAACATTGAACATGCGGTAACTTTGGCCCGTAGTTTTAGTCAGTATTTTACCATTCTAAGAAACAGATCTGGGAAACAAAGGCCCGTAGTTATAATCAAAATAAAGTCGACACTAAAGTTAGTTGCAGCTTTTTTGACAGGTATCCCATTGAAAATTACGTCGAAAAGCTGCAATTAGCTTTAGATTATGGGAAAATACTGACTACATGTTAATAAGCTGGTTAAGGTGCGGAGTTTATCTTTCATAGATGTACTGTATAAAAATGTCCGCCCATTTCGGTAGATACTGTGGCGAATACTGCGGCAACACAAAGCGAACAACGAGAAAT